ATACGTGATACATTTTCATACTTTCCACAATAGCAAGTCCAGAACAGGGGTTTAAATCATTGTCTGGGTAATGGCCTGAATAGACTTGTTTCAGGGCTCCTGGAAGTATTGGTTTCTGAAATTGCCTGTATAAATCACAGGGATTTTCAACAGCTTCATTGTTAAGACAGTAGTACTCTCAGTTTTGTCTAACCATTCTCCTCAATTTCAACGAAATAATTGGTAATCATTAGAAGTTTAGGATTTAGCTCTTAGAAGAAACGTCACCAAAGAATTCATTGGCCCAGGCTGAAAACAAAGATCCATTCTCCATCAGTAGGATTAGGCATGTGTATTTGTGTGTGTGTGTGTCTTTGACTGAAGGTCAGTCTTTGTTTAAAAAAAACAGAAAAACAAAACCCATAGTTTAGAATTCCTGTTTACTCAGCAAATGCTTTAGGGGGTTGCCAATAGGTTAAATATAGTAATTTCAATCACCAATTCTTCAGTCTCTGGATACCTTCTTTGGCATCTGGAAACAATAAATTTTAAAAACGGGGTCACCAATTGAATCTGAATATGGAGAATACTAAAAGTATGGACAGCAAAGCCTCTCAAAGGGATATTCCAGAAAGCAAAATGATAAACAGCTTTAGGATTAGAAGTGTAAACATAAGTGCAGGTTTTCACTCTGTCAACTCAACAAGTATCATATTAGTGTGCTAACATGCCAAGAAGACATTGAAATCATAGATAAATAATGGATGATTTAAAAACACAAGTGTTAACGAAGATGTGAATACCAAATTTGATTGTAGATAAATGCATACCTCTTAATGGTAACCATTAGAGATGTAACAATATAAAAACCATTTGGGGAAAAGAGGCAGAGGGGAGGATCTAGATGTAATAAGACCTGTATTTCTTTTGCTGCTTCCCAACACCCACCATTCACTCCAATTAAAAAATATATATATATTTTTTTAAAATTTATTCATTGATTCATCAAGTGTTTATCGAGTGTAGGGCAGTACATGGGGAACTGAGGATAAGAATGCAAACCCTATCTTGAAAGATCCCAGAATTCAAGGATAGGCAGATAAACCATTACAAAACATATTGTGAGAAGTAGATATAGTTCATTCAATTATTATTCAGCAAAATTTTCTTGATCATTTAGTATATGTCAGGCACTGTGTTAGGCCCTGGAAATATAATGTAAAGTGAAACAGATATGACCAGAGCCCACAGACTAATGGATAAGATTCTTATTACTTCGTCCTGACAGTCTGATCACTTAGCTGGAGAATGAAAGTAAGACTTCTATTCCATATGGAAATCATAGGCCTCCATGGAAATTGGAATCAATGTTAAATGACACCTAGGGTTACACGGTCATCTTCCCATCTAAAAAGAGAGACAGACAGACTGACAGAATGACTAGAAATTCTCTTCAGTATGTGTTTAGTCACGGAGACTTGGAAGCCAACACCACTCATGATATGAGTGCTCTGTGAACCCAGGCTTACAACAAACCTAGCCCAAAAGGTAGGGACCATGCTGTTGGCACTAATGGCCTAATTATTAGCTGAAAAAGGGAGATGACTTCAGTTCCATGACTGGGGAAAAAGAAAGAAAATAGGGTGTCCAATCAGACTAACAAATTATGGAATAAAATGAGCCAACAAATTTCTAAGCCCAGATGAAGGAAGGAATGATGGATTGAATTTCTCCCATCCAAACTCACCTCTGCTGAACCAAGCCCCATGAGAAACATTTCTAATATGACACTAGGAAATCTGCCAAGAGGAATAGTTTCACAGGCTGGGGACTGAGGGTCTTGTTTCACAAATCACCCAGGTAGCAAGAGAGAGTTACTGATATCTTGGAAGGTATTCACCACAGCTCCCAACTCTGTACCTCAGGGCCTCCACATTGCTAGCCCAGTGGCCCATTGTGGTTATATAAATGTCAGTGTTGGTTTGTGTTAGGAAATGTCCCTTAACCTGGTATAGCCTATCCTTAGTCAATACCATTCTTAAGCCACCCTATCGGAAACTGTTTTTTTTTTTATTGTTGTTGTTTTTAAGAGCCATAAAATTTATGCATATTTTATTCTCATTATATCTATTTATCTTCAAGGAAACAACATCTGAGAAGTTATATAAATTGATTTAAAACAAAGCTGAAGCAAAAAACAAACAAATTGCCGTCAAAAACAAACCAGTTGCCATCGAGTCGATTCCCACTCATGGTGACCCCATGTGTCTTAGAGTAGAACTACACTCCAGAAACCACTATATTTTTGAAGCACTTAGGAAAGTCCTCTGTTTTTAAAAATTGACTTTGAAATCTTTTTTCTTTTGTGTTTAAGTAATCATCAAAAGGATTTTGTGTTCGTATTGTTCTCCAAGATCTTCTCTTGTAGCGCACTAATTATGTTTTGTCCAAAACTTATCAAGTGGTGACATGCTAAGATTCAGTCAGGAGACAACCAAGATCAAAAGGTTTCCTTTTCTGGACTCAAAGTATCTTTTTTTAAAAATTTTTCCCCACATACTATTTTATAATCATATTGAAATTGACTTATATGCCCCTCAGAATCTTGGTTACAGACTCTATTTTGCTTTATCCTTGTTAAATAAATATCTGTCTAGGAAATTGTCTTTGTTTAACTTGTCATTTTTTGATGTATTCATTAAGAGAGGGAACAGATTTGCATTAATGAGTATTTCATTTTTATTTGTTTTCTAGGATCTTTGCTTTGTGCTTGTGTGTTTTCTTCCCTGACTTTCATCTTATGGGAAGTTACCAGCATTAACCTGAAGTTCTGTTCCTCTGAAATACTTTCTCTAGTTATAGGCTTCCTAGCTTGTGTGATTGTGACTGTGGGTTTCTGTTGAAGACACACATATCACTTGGAGAATATTTTTGGAAAGCAGGAAAAGACAAACTCTAAGATGGATTAATATTGAGAGTAACGTTGTACTTGAGAAAGCTTACCAAATGTTTGTGGCAACCAATGAACCAGCAGAAAGGGATGAAGGTGCAATAACATTTTATCCTCCCTTCTTTTTCCCAAGCTAGACTGTTTACTCTAACCTGGCTGGTCTCTGTCCTCGTCTTGGCCCAAGCTTTGCCAAACTTTTATTCATGCTGCCCTCTCTTCACTGGTGCACTTCCTATGGCCTTCCATTTACCCATCTCAAATCCCACCCCTTACATTAAGCTTTTTTCACTCCTCCCAGGCCACAGTCATGTTTTCCTCCTCTGAACCCTGATGCACATGTATGTTTAAAAAAAAAAAAAGTTGCTGTCAAGTTGATTCCAACATACATTGACCCCACATTTGTCAGAGTAGAACTGTATTCTATAGGGTTTTCAGTGACTGATTTTTCTGAAGCAGATCTCTAGACTTTTTTTTCCTAGGCACCTCTGGTGGACTCAAACCTCCAACCTTTCAGTTAGCAGCTGAGGTGTAAACCATTTTCACCATCCAGGGACTCCACATGTATTCTCTAGTTGAAATCTGTCTCAGTCCAAAAAGTATAGTTTGCAAGGTTTCTGGATGGCCTAAGAGGGCCTGTGATTTTTATTTTTAAACAGAATTACCATATACTGATGAGTTCCACCCTTCATTTCTCAGGTAACGCCACCAATTTCTTAGGTCTTAGGCAAAACCTGGTAAGTAAAATGGTCTAAAGAACTCCGTAGGCATCACTTGTCAAGGGTATGGTCTTGGGATAACGTAGATCCAGCAGATGGCGACTGAGCAGAAGCAGCCACATCTGGCCCAGCCCCTACTCAGACAACCTTTCTGAAGGAGGCTTGTTCAGCATGGTCATCACCTTACTTAGATCTCACCTGTATGGTGAATTATGTCTTTTATACCCCAGAGTAGAACTAGGAAATTATTACCCCCTTGTAGCTCCACAAAGATTAGTCAAAACTGGGATTTGATCCGGAGAGTATTACACTAGGTAGAACTCTCTCCTCATGCTTTCATTAGTGAAGTCAGCTGAGAGAATTCAGAGTTTAGGATTTAGATATTTGAGAGTGGAATTTTTAAAATGGCATCGGTCTCCCTTCTCCATTGCTAGTACCTTTGTTTTAGATCAGATGACTAACTCCTTACTAGCCAGGCAAGTGGCTATTCTGCAGGAATTGTGAGATAAATAAAACCCAGTCTTCTTCACCACTCAACCGCTACCCACTAGCCCCCAGAGATTGCTGCTGGGGTCAAAAACTATAGGAATGGAGTCAAGTAACAATTCACTGATCAGCTGAGGGGTGTTTCCTCCTGGTCCTTCTGTGGCTGTTAGAATATGTTCTTCTTTTATGTAAGCTTGAATGTGCCACTTATTTTTTTGTGGGTAACATTCACAGTCAAGACCAAAGATAAGAAGAACCACAATTTTTAACGTGAACTGCCTGAACCTTCTTTGTCAAAACTCTGGAGCAAGAGTTCATGTTAAATGAGAAGTCTCAGTGCCTTCACATATCAGTGTGTTCTGGAAAAATACTTCTCCCTCATGGACTTGAGGGACTAATTATGCAATTTTTAAGCTTATTTTTTAGTGTGGAAATGTGAGGGGACTTATTTTCCCACCTGTGCTCTCAGTCACAAATTTTCCATCAAATCAGAAATATTCAACAGCTTCTCCTATTAAAAGCAGACCCCAAAAGACAAGGTACACTGCTTCTATCACCCAGTGCACTGCTTGGCACATAGTAGGTGTGCAAAACGTGTTCCACACTAATAAAATCAAATGGGTGCCTACAATGATTTCATCATGCGTGGCTTACTGTGTGCAGAAAAAAATGAATATTTTGAATTGAACAATGGGCAGTAGTTTTGTTAGTGTTCTCTTTGGAGCAGCCTGTTACATTAATACGTAAGTAAAACCCAAACTTACGGGAAGAAGATAGGATCGTCTAGCAGATAGAGCTGAACACCAGTGCTTTTCCAAGCTGTTTGTAAACACAAGCTTTCGGTGTCTCTTGGTTTCCCTGCTGCTCAGATGCCCAGCCCACAGAAGGAGAGAGAGAAATATGGAACCAGATCAGCGCGGTCCTCCAGGATTCCGAGAGCATCCTCGCAGACCTGCAGGCTTACAAGGGAGCGGGGCCAGAGATCCGAGATGTATGCCAATGATAATACTGAGCTGACAGCACCCCAGGAGGAGAAAGGAAAGCCACACACGCACACACACAGCAAGATTAAGTAATAGCCCTAGTATTTCCTAGAGTACTAGGAAGAAAAAGGAGGGTAATGTGTCCTTGAAAAATGTATGAATGACCCCTTTTATTCTAGTACATTAATCTGAGCACACAGTGCTGTAGACCGTGTAAAATATTAGTTAGCCATTCTCTTCTTCTTATACACACATTTAATACCGCAGGACTCACATTTAAACAATAAATTGTCACCCTATTACTTCGTGGAAGGAACACCTACATATAAAGTCTATGAACAGTGGTTGAAATATGAGTTGTAAGGTCTGGGTTTACAGATACTTTCCAACATTTTGTAATAATTTCGGCAGCTTCCACTAGTGTCACAAACAACAGTCATAAGTAGCCTACAGGTCTGTTGTCTTATAATGTCTTATGAGATAAAATAAATAAGTAAATAAATAAATACAATAACAACAAAAAAAAATAAGTGAACTATCAGTTTGACTTTTGAAAATGCCTTAAAGACAAGAAACCTCAACTCCCTTTATTTAAAATACTTACTTTTTGGAAATATCAACAAACACAAGCATGCATGTGTACACACACGCAACTCACCACTGTGCCTCTGAAAAGAACACCATTGCCATCATAATCCCCAAACTGATGAATCCCAAACAAGAGAATATTTCTAAAAAAGTAACGGCCTATTAAGAGGCAGTTTTTCTAGTTAGGGGTCACCATTTAATTTAGCTAATTTCAGTAACATTACAGACTAGCATATTATACATATAATAGAAAAAGGAAAATATCTATAGGGTTTACACTTCATGATGAGCACTAGCTCTACTTTAGAAGAATTAAATAGTGATGGAGGAGGGGTGAATTGCCTCCAATTTAAATGTGACCTTTTTTTTACATTCAGGTTAACAGAAACAAGTCCAATGACACAGGATCTAATATAGAATCATTTGCATTATACTGAAGTGTTAAAATCTCCATTGTATATGAGCATCTTGTGAGACAGCCCCAGGAACTGATGCAGTTTAAGTAGTACATATTAACAGAGTACAGCAGGGATTGTATTTTTTGCTAAAATCATTTCTCAAGCTTAAGGAATTTGATGTGGAGCTTATTGCTTCTTTTTAAGCAGACAGTTCTATCATGTTTTTGTAGGCAATTCAAAACCCCAATGACATTCAGCTTCAAGAAAAAGCCTGGAATGCAGTGTGTCCTCTGGTTGTGAGACTAAAGAGATTTTATGAGTTTTCCATAAGGCTAGGTGAGTATGTGTTTATAGTATTCACGTCCCATGTATGAAGTTTTCTGTTGGCATTTGAGAAGGTAGCAGGAGGAGCTCACCATATTGGAAGATGTCTCCACATCCATCGTTGTGTGTGATGAGAGGCCGTTCATGGGTGGCAACACTTGCCATTCTCATTTCTTTCAATCCACCACCAAGTTCTTTCCTTGAAGTACTGGCCCATTTAGAGTGTCTCTACTGGTAGATATCCCATTGGTTGTCTTCTCAGCTATGCCCAACTCTTAACACTTTTACAGCAGGCTGATCACATTTCTGAATGACAGAGAAGTTGGAAGATACAAGTTACCTGCTAGACTCGAAAAGAACTTGGGTGGCTGGAGTCATTTGATGAATTTAATGTAGTGAAATACAAGAAAAGCAAAGATAAAACTCTCCATTTAAGCTTAAAAAAAAACACTGTACAGGTATAGCATGGTTTTACAGAACCAAGAATAAAGCCAAATCTGGTTGACAATAGGCTCAATGTGACCAGCAATATGATATAACTGCTCTCCACAGCAGTAAAACTTTCTCAGGCTACATTAGTTAATATAGTATATCTAGACCAAGGAAAGGAATAGTCCATTTCTATTCTATTTTTGCCATAATGAGTGCCACATTTTAAGGGAAAATCAGATGAGTTGAAATACTTTGGAGGAACAACAGGCGTGATGTTGAGATGACTCAAAACTAAGCCCAAAGAAGAGAAATTGAATGAACTGAATCAATTTTATAACAAGAGGGGGCTTCTGAAGGCTTTCAGATAGAAGAGGGATCAACTTCTCTCTATATTTTCTCAAAGTGTAGGTCTAGGCCTAATGACTGAATCCTATGGAGTCAAGTTTCAGTTCAACAGAAGGAAGAAGACCCCTCAGAATCAGAGCAGGCCAAGGTAGAACTGGTTGCCTCAGAAGACAGTGAGTTCCCATAGATGGAAATGTTTAACAAAGACTAAGGGTATCCCTTGTAAAGACACTATAGAAGGCATTTAAGGACTGTGTAGAGCAAGGATTAGCAAACTTTTCTCAACATTACCAGATGTTAAGTATTTTAGACGTTGTGAACCACACAGTCTTTGTCACAACTACTCAACTGTGTTGTAGCACAAAAGCAGAAATAGACAATACATAAACGAATGAGTGTGTATATATTCCAATAAGACTTTATTTACAAAATCAAGAAATGAACCAGATTTAACTTGTGGACCATAGTTTTCCAACCCCTGGTATAAAGGATTGGCTAAATGACTCTGTGCTGTTAGAAACATATCAAAGAGAAAGCTGGAGGGAATGCTTATAAACAGGCAAGTGGGAGTAGTGAGCTGCAAGGGCAATAATGGGGGAAGATATGGCAATGAGTGAGTAGAAAAATAGTCTTAGGATTAGGTTAGAGTATAGATGCAGAGAAGAGATGATAGGGGACCAAAGGTCTTTCTCTGCAAAGCACATTATCTGATCTATGCATTCAGGGCCACTGCTTTATCTAATCCTGTATTATAAATGGATATCTCATGCACATGATCCAAACACACATACTTGTGGTTTTCTGGGAGTGTTTGGAATTAAGACTGCTAAGCGTGTGAGGCTTAGAGAGAGACATTTGCAGAACTCTGTGGCCGGAGGAGGCTTCTGCAGTGGAGGCAGCCTCCTGGAGCACGTGGGACTCCTGGTCGTTGCCCACACACAACATGTGTCACACAGTTAGGGGGAAAGACATGAAGTAGGAAAACCCAAGTAGGTTCTCTCTGAGATTGTCAGCTGTGGCTGAGAATTGTGCTATTTGAAGGATCTCTGTGTACCACCTCATACATATATTTATCCTTTTGGCTTTCAGAAAAAGCTCTTCAGAGTTTATTGGAATCACTAACCTGTCCACCCTACACGCCAACCCAACACCTGGAGCGGGAGCAGGCCCTGGCAAAGGAGTTTGCGGAAATTTTACATTTTACCCTTCGATTCGATGAGCTGAAGGTTAGGCCCAAACTGCCTTGGATATTTCACAACAAACCTTTACTGAGTACCTACTGTGTGCAGGCACTCTGCTAGTGTTCTAGGGTGGGGAGACTGAGAAATGAATAAGACATAACTCCTGTCCTGGAAGGACCATGAGGTGGTAAGAACTTGCATTCCATGGAGTAAAACTAATTTAAGACAGTGGTCTCTGCACGTGAAAATTCAAAATCCACCAAATGCAGTAACAGAAAACCTTTCCAGTTTTCTGTTCTTCAGCAAATATACTTTTCCTGGAGTCTGATCCATTTTACAAACTGAGCATATTTTAAAACAACGAAGCTACAAGTACATATTTCTCTGTTTGTTTTTTTTAACCAGAAGTGTTTTGCCTCTTGTGTAACAAAAAAGTCCTGGTGTATTTACCAAATCTAGTGTCCAGGCTCCTAATGTATTTCTCCTTCTGATGCTCTGATGCTCCTTTCCTCTCTCCTGGATTTCAGATGAGGAACCCAGCTATTCAGAACGACTTCAGCTACTACAGAAGAACAATAAGTCGCAACAGGATCAACAACATGCACGTGAGTCCTTGAGTTGCCTGGGCCTTTCTGCCCTTCTCCGTGGCGATTTTGTTTTCTGCATCTGGAAGCACACAGGAAAAAGACCGCTTCCCTGTCTATAATTCAATTTCCAGAGGGCATCATTTGGGGATTTTGACCATCTCTTTACAAATTGCATTTTCTCTTCTTATTTTCATCAGCTAGACATTGAGAATGAAGTCAATAATGAAATGGCCAATCGAATGTCCCTCTTTTATGCAGAAGCTACACCAATGCTGAAAACCCTTAGCAATGCCACAATGCATTTTGTCTCTGAAGTAAGTGAGGTTGAGTGACAAGTGCTTTTCTCTTAATTGGACATAAAAGCTGCTAGCAAGGCTAACGTATGTTTGTGTCTCCCATTTAGAACAAAACCCTGCCAATAGAGAATACCACAGACTGCCTCAGTACAATGACAAGTGTCTGCAAAGTCATGCTGGAAACTCCGTAAGTTGAAATCAAAGATGTAACTCATTGTCATAAGTCCACCCAGCCAGGGCCAATTGTCCCAGGAAGAATATCTGTTGATAGTGATGATGATGATGATGATGATGATGATGATGATGATGATGATAACATCTAACATCTAACATCTTATTTAATCTCATAAAGAACTCTGAGTGATAGGTGTATGTATCCCCATTTTGTAGTTGAAGAAACTGAGGCCCAAACTGGGTAACTGACTTCCCACATGTTGTATAGATAAGTAGATACCAGAACCAAGGCTCAAATCAGAGATACTGATGAAGACACGTAAGGAGCAAGTGGAGGGTTGGGTTAAATGACTGAGTATTATTGGAAATCCACTGAAGAGGAGGCTTGGCTGAAGATTTAGAACCAAGAGTGGAAGTGGTAAGGATGACAATGGAGGTTTCTCTCTCTCTTCCTCTCTCTTTTCTCAGCAGTTTCTTTATACCTAAGAGGAGCCCTGGTCGTGCAGTGATTAAGTTTTCAGAGGCAAACCAAAAAATTAGTGGTTGGAACCCACCAGCCACTCTGCAGGAGAAAGATGTGGCAGACTTCTTCCATAAAGATTTACAGCCTTGGAAACCGCATGGGGCAGGTCTACTCTGTCCCATAGGGTTGCTATGAGTCGGAATTGACTTGATAGCAGTGGGTTTCTGTGTACCTAAATCAGTTCCTAGGATTAAAAAAAAAAAAAAAAAAAAAAAAAAAAATTGTTGTTGAGGATGAGGCAGCATGGTGATGGATAAATCTGCACAAGATCGCCTGGATTCTGCCTGGGTCTCTGGCCCCTCATCTGCCTGTGGACAAGTAGTCTGACCTCCCTGGGCCTTAGTTTCCCGTCTCATGATGTGCCCATAACGCCACCTACCCTGCAGAATGTTTGGGAGGGACAAAGGCATCAACAGTAAATTTATAATATCTGATGCCCTGTTCAAATTAGGATGGCATTAATTTCAAATATTTCACTTATACCAAAGTTAAGATTTAATCCAAGACAGAAAATAGTAATCATGTTCATTGTGGTGCCAATTCATAGTGAAATAGGTGCTAAGAAAGCCTGTGCAATTGGCCTGCATCATCTTCATCATCAGGGTTCCTGTTGAGGTAAATGAGCAAAATTCAAACTCCACAAATACTCTCAGCTCAATGAATAGTATATAATTTCTTTCAGGTATCTTTGCCGATCCAATTCCATCTGCAGTCTGTGTCTTAACAAAGGAAGTTACTGTGGCTGGAGACATGATAGCTGCTCTGTAGAAATGAGCCTGATTCTTTTTCTCCGTAATGAAGCCATTATTCTCTATAATCGTGGACAACCAGAGGGACCCGCTATAAAATATTCAGGATTGATGGGCACGGGAGTGGTGTACATGATCAGCCGGCCTGCTGAAGGGCAGAAGAGAAGAGAATTTACTGCCCTCTAATTTACCTTATTTTCACACTGAATTGCTGGTTGGATAGATTCAGGGAGAATTATCATCATGGGTTTCTTTAAGAGCATATTAACCCAGTCGTTGCAGGTCTGGGATTGTTCTCAAGAGAGGATTGAAGGAGTTTAAAGTAGCCAGTTGTGGGGCTGAAGGTGAGCATGTGCCGACAAGGAAGTAACACTGCTGCCATCTCCCCTCTCTTCCAGGGAATACAGGAGTAGGTTTACCAGTGAGGAAACACTGATGTTCTGCATGAGGGTGATGGTGGGCGTCATTATCCTCTATGACCACGTCCACCCTGTAGGAGCTTTCTGCAAGACGTCCAAGATTGATGTAAGAACAGCTAAGGAGTGGGCTTTCCAAATAAGCGCGTGAGAATGGTGCCAAACAGACCTTGCTTCCCCCCTCTCTACTCCTCCCTCCACTGCGAGTAGTCTTTCCAGGATACAACCCCACTTGTGGCAGTTGTCTTCATGGCAAGAAGTCCAGTCTTCTCTGTGTGCTTACAGCGAAACATCCCCACCTCCAAAGGGTAGCCGAGATGCCAAGATGCTGATTCCCTCAGCCCTTGGTGCAGCCGAGAAGACCAACAGTCACTTAGCTTTAAGCTACCCCTTTCATTTACCCATTTACCCAGTGTGACACACACACAAACACACACACACACACACACACACACACACACACACACATAATACATGCCTTAATGTGAAACGAGTTGGGACATACTGGATTACAAGACTCCTCAGTCAGATCCCAGACGACCTTTCAGCTTCATGTCCCACCACTTCCTACCTTTTGCTCCACCCAATTTCTATGCCTTGTCATCCTGAGTGTGCTTGAGCCCTCCCTCCTGCCCAGCACACCCTCCCTCTTCTCTGAGAGGCAAAATCCTCTAAAACACTTCTCAAACGTCACCTCATCTAGGGATACAGTTCCTGTGTCCTACATGGGTCAAAGCCTTGCTTCTCTCTGGCCCCCAAAGCACTTACCATTTTGTGTTTTCTAACTCCCTCACAGACTCTAAGCTCTTTGTCAAAAGGGCAGAAACCATTATTTATAAATCTAATGTCTCTTCTACTCCCTAGCACAGTCCCTGGCACATAGTGCATAGCACTCAATAGATGTTCCGTAGAGATTGTTTTGAATGAATATAATTAGAAAACGCATGACTCTGAAGCTTTCTTGTTGATTGTGGAATAAAGCATACATCCCCTTAGCCCAGAATTTGCTAACAGCACCAAACCCCATAGTGTATCCATTGGATTAATTTAAAAACTCTTTTTACTAACTTACTAACTTGTGCTGACATGGCGAAGTTCATTCCCCTGTTCAGAATAGCATCTCTGATGCTCTAGCACGGTGTAGAAAGTCAAAACGCCCAGAATGGCCAGGGTTCTGCAAAATACAAGGAACTTAAGTATCAATGAAAAATGCAACTTGGATTATTCACTTTGAGGCTCTGAGTCCCCAGCAGAGCTGGGCATGGCTCTTCAGAGGGTCCTTATGACATTTCTTTTATGTTTTTTAATGAAGTATTGTCTTTTTTTATTGTGATATATAGATAACAAAGCATCTGTCATTTCAACAATCTTCACACATACAGTTCAGTGATATTCAATATTTTCATCATGTTGTTCAGCTATCACCACTTATGACATTTTTAATAGAATTACTTTCTGTTTGCAAAGAGAATAAGTAGCTGTTATAGAAAATTTGAAAAATACAGAAAATTAAATGTATCTCTCATAACCCCACCACTGACAGATGACCACTGTTAATAAGTCAACGTACATGTGTCCCTTCTTCTTATGTAGATGTTTGTGTGTCTGTCTGTTTGTATGTACTTAACAAATTAGGAGCATGCTATACATGTCATTTTAAAGTGCATTTAATTCATTTACTATATCATGGACTTTTTTTTTCTTAAATAAATATATTTATTGTATTCTGTGTGAGGCTTTAACGTTTTTATACTGTAGATTGAGTATAAATAACTCTTTGAGTAACTTTATAACTATCATTTGAATGTATATTGAGTTTAGTACCTGGTAATCATAGGACAAGGAGTCCTGGTGGTGCAGTGGTTAAGCGCTCAGCTGCTAACTGAAAGGTCAGTGATTTGAACCCACCAGCCGCTCTGCCGGAGAACAATATGACAGTCTGCTTCCGTAAAGATTACAGCCTTGGAAACCCTATGGGGAAGTTCTGCTTTGTCCTATAGGGTCACTATGAGTTGGAATCAACTCAACAGCAATGGGTTTGGTTTTGTTTTTGGTTTAATCAAAGGACATTCCAATTTACCAAAGTTTTTTTGTTTTTTTTTAATTTGTCACAGAGTTAACCATTAAAAGGACACTGGGTACAGTTGTATCTGTGCCCTAATCTTTAAACACTTGGTTTTACATGTCATTTACTGAGTATTTCTGTTGAGCTCACTAATGGTATATAATGTGAAATCTAGCCACACACAGTCTTGATGAAGTCTACTTGTGCATGCAGGTCTCATTAAGAAAGGTTTGTTCATATTGAAGGTTACATGTGTCTCCAAGAAAGTTTCCGATTTGCTTAGCTCAACTATATTCAAGGTGGCCCATTTCCTTTAATGATATAAAGGGTCTTCTCCCAGATGTTAGTCTATTTCTAAGTCAGTAGTTACAAGCACTGTGTTTATAAATCTTTAGAGTATCAACATCAACTGTGAATAAACAGGTATTGATTTGTCAGACCCTGGAATAAATACTGTATATGCACTTCCAAAGAGCATGACCTGAAGGGCCAAACAGATGCATGGTGAGCTCTTGTAACCCAGTTGAGAGGGAAACGCATCTGCTTAGAGGCAGATGCAGGCAGGGGCCAGAGGGCGATGTTTGAGGTGGGCCTCAAAGAGGGTGTAGGATTTTCTCAAATGGGCAGATGAAAGGAAGTGTACTCTAGGCAGAGGGAGATGTCAGAGTGCCAGCAGGAGAATAGATGGCAATCTTGGGTGCCAGGAAAAGCAGTCTTGGTAAGATGTTGTTTTCAGCTGATTTCCTTAGAGTCTCATGAAATGATCTTTGTCCCCGCTCAAACCTCACCCAGAACTCTAGACCCCACTTCTTCTGAACACCTGAAACATGGCATGCCCCAAACTAAATGTTATCCTGCCCCTCCTCTTGGGTTCCCTGCCTCAGGTGTTCTACCATCATCCAACCCGTCTCTAAGGCAGAAACCTAGGGATTATTCTAACTTCCTCCCGTTCCATCAATTCCCACGCCCTGTCAGTCATCAAGCCCTATGGAATCTGTCTCAGATTAATCTACCCATCCCTCCCTTCTCCATGCCTACTGCTTCTGTATACTCCATACCCTCAAAGGCTCTCCCTGCACCTCCTAACTGGCCTCCCTATCACCAGTCTTGCTTCCTTCTGATCCCTTTCCATATTAACCACATTATCAGATTGTTTATCACCTCTCAAGGCTTCTCCATTTTCTATAGGTAAAGGTCCCAAACGTCCTAACATGATATTAAACTTGCATGTGATCTCGCCTTGTCTACATCCCTGGCTACATCCTGGTATTCCCTACTTTGAGCCCAATGCTGTAATAATCCTGGAATAGAACTAGAAATCCCCAAACTGTACTCACTGGTCTTTCATCCCTTTCTTATATCTCTGTTCCCACTGCCCCTTAGGCTTGTTTTATATGATGATTCATCACAGTAGGATAATGAGTTATTTATCTCTTTTCTGTCAGTGGTCCATGGGCTCCTTTGGGAGGGGAACCATATCTCTTCATCCCTGGGCCTTATCCCATCCCTGGAACCAAGCAGGTCTGGGGTACCCTTACCTGGCTTGCTGTAGCCTCTCCCCTCCTGCACCCATGACAGACATCTCTAATTGACCACAACATTCTTTCTTGGTGAGCCTATATGTGACCCCCAGATAATTCTCAACCCTGTGCTCTTGGCTGCCTCCATCAATCTGTCAGGACTTATCAGGCCTTTGAGATAAAACTTTGATATGTGAGAATTTGACCCACAGAAAATACTTGTTTCTAAGTGTCATTGTAAAAGAGGCTCTTAGTATAACCAAATCCAATATACTACATGAACTTCTGAGTCTAAAATGAGTGATTCTCATCTTTGCAGAAAGTCTTGCTTTGCCAAAAAACCCACTAGAGAATATGCATAATATAATGCAATCTATATAAATTTAGTTTTCATGTACTTCCCAAATTATGAACAAATTGTATTCCAAAGGCACAAAAAGCTAATAAACTTGCCTATGTTCCCAGGGATACTAAACTAACAAGCTGGGGTGAAACCCAGCCATTGTGCCTCCATATGGTTCACATTCTTAACAACTGTTTTTTACTGCCTCTCACAGATGATTAAGATGTAGATCGGCACCTCTGGGAGTGTAGAGCCTTGTGAGGGAGATAAATTAATTTGGGCACTAAGATTTCCAAGGCTCTATAATAAATGCCAAAATACGATGTTCAGTGCTGTTGAAATACGAACAAAGATAAAACATTTGACTGCAACAAGTTAGAAGGATATGACCTTTGAGCTGAGTCTTGAAGGATTAGTAGGCAGACAAAATGGAGGTGGCGGCAGGCATTTAGATGGACAGAACTGCATATCGAGAACACAAATGTGGTGGTTACTACTACCTGGTGGGGGCAGTGAGGTCAGGAAGGGCTTCCTAGAGTTGGTGACCTTTAGCTGAGTCCTAAAAATATGGTTAAGGGTTTGCCAGTCAAATAGCTGAGGGAGGGAGAGCATTCTGGGCAGAGAGATGGTATAAAAATTTTCAGATTTTAATTCATGGAGTAAATATTAGCTGAGCACCGCTACAGGGAAAGCCTTGCACTTGGCTCCCAGAGTACAAAGACAAGATCAAAGTCTCAAGTCTTTGTCCCCAAATACCAGACAAGTAAAATATACAGCTGCAGTATAGTGTGAAAAGTAGTATGATTCAGAACAGTACAGAATTTTGGAGGAGCACCTCACCAACCTGAGGGGGTAGAAAGGTCTGTTGATCATTCCTGTGTTAGATGTCTATGGACAGAAATAATGTGACATTATCATGAAACCAAAAAACCAAACCCACTGCCATCAAGTCAGTCCCAACTCATAGTGACCCTATAGAGCAGAGTAGAACTGCCTCCCCAGGGTTTCCAAGGCTGCAGTCTTTACGGAAGGAGCTGTGGTAGCAAGATGGTTAAAGCGATCGACGATTAATCAAAAGGTCGGCAGTTCAAAATCACCAGTGGCTCTGCGGGAGAAAGATATGCCAGTTTGCTTCCGTAGGGATTTACAGCCTTGGAAACCCTGTGGGGTCGCTGTGAGTCAGAATCGACCCGATGGCAGTGGGTTTGGTTTGGTTAGGATAATCTTTACGGAAGCAGACTACCACATCTTTCTCCCAAGGAGTGGCTGGTAGGTTCCAACTGCTGACCCTTCAGTTAGCAGCCAAGTGCTTAACCATTGTGCCACCAGAGCTCCTTGCAACATTATCATAGACAGATGCTATTATGGATAGGTAATATTATGGATGGAATTACCAAGATGCTAAAAAAAAAACCTTGTGTTTTCTCTTCGTAGATGAAAGGCTGCATAAAGGTTTTGAAGGAACAGGCCCCGGACAGTGTGGAGGGTCTGCTGAACGCCCTCAGGTGAGCCCCGGCCACTGACCACGGGACAGCTCCCCTGCAGATCTGTGGCACATTTAGCATGCTGTTTGCCACCAAGGGTTAGAGCACCAGGCTTAACCCTTTGTGTTTTCTGGCACTTTTAGCTTTCCAACCACTTGATGAGGTCAGCATCATTTTTAATCATCTCTTTTTTACAGATGAAAGAAATTGAGGTTTAGCAAAGTCAAGTAACTTGCCAAAAGGCATGCAGTAAATGGCAAAGCTAGGACTTAAACCCCAGTCTCTTTGACCCCACAGGTCATGGGCACAGTGGTTTGTGATTAGTGGCCTCATTTTCCGAAGAGTCTCTCTTTCCCCTTCACCAGCCGTCTCCAGCTCTACACATGAGAATTACACGGGAAGCTTTTAGAAACACGGATGCTGAGGCTCCACCTCAGACCAGATGAATCAGAATCTCTGAGGAAGGGGCCCAGGCACACAGTTTCTTGTTGTTCCAAAGCTCCTTAGGTGATTTCCACGTGCAGCCGGAGTTGAGAACCCTGCTCTACACTGTCCAGATGCTGAGCATTTGGTCAGCTGTGGCTTGTTCCAGATGCTAACTGCTAAAAACTAGTGCGCAGGAACCTTCATGCTTTCCACAGCTGTGTTTGGCTTAATTTACTTCAGGGAAGGGATTCTTATTTTTTCAGTTGTTAATACATCCACACAGTGTTGAATCACTGCTGCAATGCAGCTCATTCCAACACTGGATCACAGTCTCAAAGGCTTAAGGTTCCTGCTGTCTTATTCATCTTTGATTTCCCTAGTTCCACTCAGTGTTGTGTAGGCAGGAAGTGTTCAATAAGTATAAGTGGAATGGATGAGTGATCGATAATCCTCTACATACATTCATACAGCATTTATGTTTAATACGCTACTTCCAATCATAATGTCTCATTTAATCATCACAGCTCAGATAGGCAAGGCTAGTCTATTATCCCCATTTAATAAATGAAGAAAATGAGATGCACATGAAAGAAATAAACCAGACACTGAGGTTGATGCTATTTTGAGGAGCTGTTGAGTCATCATGCTCCAGAACAGACGTAGCTTCACCATAAGAGCCTTCCAGATTGTATGAGTAATCAAAGACTTCCTCCATTGGTGTCCATTTTACCCTAGGCTGGCTTTCCACATGCAATAAAAAGACTTTAGCTTCTGAAGCTTTAGAATTTTCCAAAGCGTCATTCAGTCAAGCAAGACTTCACTGAGAGCAAGGTGTTAGGTGTTGAGTTCTTAGTGTTGGAATTTGTGTCTCCTGTAGACACTGTGATGAAGTGAAAACAGCACAGGCTTTCAAGACAGCCAGATCTAGGTTCGAATCAGAAATCACAAACTGTTCACAAATCACAAATTGCTAGCTGTGCAATCTGAAGTGGGTCATTTAACCTTTGTGAACCTCAATTTTCTCATCTGTAAAATGGAAGCAGTAACTTCTCTTGCAGTTATAACTTGTGAGGATTTAAATGAAAACTTAGACCAAATGTCTAGAACATGGTCAAGATTTTATTACATGCTAATTCCCCTTTCCCCTCTTTTCATAAACTATTTCTAAACCAGGTTGATATTTGGATGCACGTTTGCACCACTTTTTTTTTGGTTTGTTTGTTTACCTGCATATTTGCCCCCTTGTGGTGGCAACGAGGATAAGAGTTGCCACAATTTAGGAAACTGTAAACTTGTAAGTTTGAGTTAGTTTGCTATGATAATACATATTTTGAAATTTGTGACCTTGCAGGCAAAGCCTAGATGCTTAATATTCTGCACTCAATCAAGTGAAGACTTCCTCCCCAGAAAATGAGATTCTTAACATCTCTTCTGTGTAATTATTTGATTAGGTGAAAGATCTACTTGTTCAATAACCCGAATACAAAATTCCTTTGGAAGGAAGAATCAGCTATTAAATCTGCCTGAGAATACTCTGGGCATTGAAGTGTGGCTCTTTGTCTTAAGAACCAATCCAAAGCTTGATTTATAAATATCAATTGTGTTTCCCAGGGTAAAGATGGGCTGACGAGTCATTACTGAAGCTTTGGTCGAGCACTCTTTGCACACTGACCTCCATCCCTCTCTCCATCCAGGTTCACTACAAAGCACTTGAATGATGAATCAACTTCCAAACAGATTCGTGCAATGCTTCAGTAGAGCGCTGCTCGGAGAAGAGGATCTATGTACTGACCTCAGAAGATGTATATGTTTACATAATTTAATACAGATTGATGTTAATACTTGTGTATTTACATAACCATTTCCTTCTTGACACTGAAATATATGGACCTTAATTTGTATCCTAACTGACTCAACCCAGCACAACATAAATTGACTTGAGAGCCTTACCTTTGATGTTTGAAACGAAACCCCCTGCTCCAAAGGCAAATTTTGGAGACTTTAATCTTTGCTACTAGAGTCCTTTAACCAAACCTGTAACAATCAGAAATCCCTAATAGTTTGTGATAGTGTTTTAATTCTAGATGTGTTATCTCTCTGGAAAGTATAGTTATAGAAACATGAAGTATTCAATTTTCTCTCTTGGCTCAGCTATGAGAAACACAACTGTTATTCTGAGAGAGGGAGAGGAATCCAAGAAAAGAAAAATGCGTGCGTGGAGAATCAAGCCCAAGTGTTTTGAATTCAGCGCGCCCCTCTCTCTTTCCTCAAACTGCAAAGCACACGTGCAAGTTTTCTGTTGGCACGTGTTTTACTCATCAGCGTATTCTCTTTCTGTCTAGATTTATACCCCTCTAACATTCACTTTTAATTTTGCAAGAGGAAAATGAACCTGTATTTTAATGTTAGTGAGAAAGAAGTGGAATAAGTAGGTGTGCTGCTGTAGCTGGGCTGGTTGATGAAGGTGGTTGTCTTCGAAGTGGGAGGCGGGTGGGGAGGAGGGGCACCCAGACAACAGGACCGTCATCGCTCTGCTTCAACCCCCTGCTTTCGAGGACAAAGACATGGAACACTGGCTTTGAAATTATGGATATGTTTTCTGACCTTCCAGTTCCCTGCTAAGTGTTGGGAGTGTCCCAAAAAAAACGATTGTTGTCGAGTCGATTCTGACTCATGGCGACCCCATGTGTGTCAGAGTAGAACTCTGTTCCATAGGGTTTTCAGTGGCTGATCTTTGAGAAGAAGATCACCTGGACAGGGTGGACTCAAGCTTCCAACCTCTTGGTTAGCAGTCAAGCACATTAACCTTTTGCACCACCAACGGACTCCCACCCTTCCTACTAGTTAGTCCTGTTCTCTGTGGTCCATTTATGCGGAGACAGAGGTCTAGGGCGCTTTGTTAGTAGCAGAGAACTGGAGGAATTGGAAGGGGAAAAAAAGCAAAACTATACTTTCTAGATGCCTGATATTTAAAAGCCAGCTCCTCCCCCACCTCATAGCCAGCCTGTTGTGGTATATAAAGCTCTGTATGCCTTGTGAGTACCTGGATTCTAGTCCTTGCCCTACTAGGGAGTTACAGTGTGATCTTGGGAAATTTGCTCCAGCTCTCTGCATCTCGTTTTCCTCATCTATAAAATGGGTGACAATCTCCAAGAGCCTTTTTAAGGCCACAAGCCAATAAAATGACTGACTCCACCTTCCTTCTTTAGTAAGCAGAGCCTAGTAAGCATTACCCCACCTTATCTTGATGATTAACAACATTGGAAGGCCTTGAGTCATTCTTCTTCTGTAGATCAAAGGGCATAGAATGAAATCCTGGAAAACTTCTACTCTGACCTCCATTGGAAAAATGAGACACAGAGAATCCAATTACACAGGATCACCTCCATGTAGGACCAGAACCCAGGATACTTCAGTCCTGACTCCGTGCTCTTTCTTTTCCACCATGTGGCCTATGGATACATAATACAGGATGGGGCTGGACCTTCTTAAATAAACCCTTAGCCTCGCCTGTATTATTACTTGTCTATTTCTGATAGAAGAAAGAGTAGCCTAGACAGTGAATGAAAGTCCCGAAGTTGGGTCTGGGTACATCAGGGTTTAGCATCATTACCCACATCCCAAGGAATGAGTTGTCAGACACCATTGCTTTGTGGACTTTAGTGGCCTGCAGGCATTCCCTGGAGTCTCCCAAGAAAAGGGGAGAAATATTTTTTGTTGCTTTGTTTTTGTTTTTTTTTTTTAAACAAAGAAATGCAGTGAAGTGGCAGGACAGTACATTTCTACTGATACCCTGGTCTGTATCTAAGTGCTAGTCAGCAAAGAGAAGACAGGCCCTTTTCCTTGGAGCTTTTCAAACTGACCAAGTACGACTGCTTAGGTGACAGTTATCTCATCAGAACAGAAATACCCTAGATGGCCTTTGGGATATTTTTGAACCTAGGGATTCTGAAACCCTAGAGGAAGGTAGAAAATGGGATAACACCAGGTGAGCAAATTCAGTAACTATTCAGTTTAAGAAATCTATTTGGCAGCCACATGTTGTACTTGGGCAAACAACTGTCAAGACTAGAATTACAGAGACGTGTAATGTTTACAGGCATTGGGTACATTTTCCTCCTTTACCAGGTGAAGAGATTTAAGGCTTGGAGAGAAGGAAGGGCTTGCAAACCATCACAGAGCTCATGAGGCACAGACCTGGCACCTGAACCCAAGTCATGTGTCTTTACCACAGCTGCCTCTCAACTGGTTAAAGGAGAAAATGTTAGGGGTTATACGTCAATTTTTTTAAAAGAAAAGGAAAAAAATATATAGCAGAGTAAATAGTTGAGCACATTTGTAATTTTTCATTAGAATTTCTATCAAATGGGACCAACCATATGGGAGAGACTGCTGGCCTACCCCAGTTTAGCCAGGCCACCTTGTCTCATAGCCAAGAAGCACCAACACATGGATTCTGAAAAGCCCAGGGCCTGAACTGTTGCCTTGATTATCACTAGGACAGGTTAACTGAATGTCTGTGATCACTGGCAGGTGATGGACCTTTAGTCCACTCCAGAGCTACTGTGGGAGACAAATTCTTTTAACAGACTGTCCACCAGGCATTAGAAGTCCTGGAAAATCCCAATTATTTGTGCTGCATGTACATGTGTCCGAGACCTGTGGGTGGTTTAGGGGAAAGTGCTAGAGACAGCATCAAGGTCATTGTTAACCATATTTCATATTTGATGTCTCATTGTTTTCAAATAAACAGTGTTTTTCATGGCTCAGATATTTATTCTGGGCAAGCAACAAGGTGAAAATTACATTTTTCTGATGCACTGCTGCTTTGAAATTGTAACTTTGTTCTCAGAAACCTTACATGTGCCAGTAGGAATTGGAAAAAATAAAAAAAAAAGTGGAAATGAATGTTTTTAATTGCGCTAACCCATTAGGGCTACAGTATTTAACAATCAGAAAGAATGTCTTGGATATTACCTTTTAACTATTAGTTAGTATCATCTTCACCAACATTTGCTCCCAGTCTTCACCACGATACATAGATGTTAACAGTAAGCTGAGATACTTGATACATCCTCATAGTTAAATAAAAATAATTCCATACCCCTACAAAGGAAAAATGCTCAATCTTGGATCCCAATTGTGCAATATAATTCAGAGATTTCTCATTGAATCTTTTATCCTAGACAGTTACTAATTTTTGTAGATGGCAATAATAAACATTGGAATTTTACCTTAAAAGAGCCAAAAACTTTGGAACCCAATTTCCCTGCTACGTCTATAAAAACTGGCACACATAAAGCTGTTTTAAAATTATCATATGTTGTTTGCTGAAGTTATTGTAATTTTCTTTTGGGGTTTTTTTTTTGTTTTTTGTTTTTGTCTGTTTGCCTCTTTTTGTACAGAAGTTTTGCGTGTGAAATGAAAATTAAAGTTTGGTACATATATTTAAAAAGATACCTCTATTTTGTATGATGTTCGAGGTTGAGTGAGTGACAAATGATCATTGTTCCACATAGATATTTGCTTGGTACCTGCTCTGGGGACTAGGAAATCACACCATCTGTCTGCCACCTCTCTAAGCCTCAGTTTCTTCAAAAACATGAAGCACCCAAAGTGTCCCACTCTCGGTATTCTTGTAAGCCAAGACTCTCCATTACTAAAAAAAGAAAAGAAAACAGGCATGATTGACATCTAGTCATACATGAGACTTTGTCCAGGGAAGTTAAGAAACCTTGCCCTTTCTCTTGCATATCAATGCTCACACACACACACACACACACACACACACACACTTGGATTTTGAAAGGGGTGAATGTATGAAAAATAGGTAGTAATGTTGTTCATACAGCTTTATATAAATATAGGTAATCTATTGCCCAGTAATTCCAAGAACAAATCTGTCTTGGAACAAGTACAGCCAGAATGCCCCTTAGAAGCAAGGATGGTGAGACTTCATCTCACATACTTTGGACATGTTATCAGGAGGGACCAGTCCTTGGAGAAGGACATCATGCTTGGTAAAGTAGAGGGTCAGCAAAAACGAGGAAGACTGTCAACGACATGGATTGACACAGTGACTGCAACAATGGGCTCAAGCATAACAATGATCATGAGGATGGCGCAGGACCGGGCAGTGTTTTGTTCATTGTACATAGGGTTGCTATGAGTCGAAACCAACTCAACGCCACCTAACAACAACAGCAACATTATAGAAATAATTACCTTAAGACACATTTAGACACATTCATGATGACACGCTTTAATGAGTCACGGATATATATGAATACATCTGGTTATATGGCCTAAATTTTTGAAGATGATATAAAAAATAATCAACCCCTGCCAGAAAACATCCATGAATCTGACCAAGTGAAACTAGGAAATGCTCTTTAATCCTTTTTTTAGTGTAATAGCATTGTATGGATTGGGAAAAATCAACAAATAACCTATTCCGCATGGGTATATTTTTCAGACAACTTAAGCATGAAAACAATTATTTTGACTATTTAACAGTGAAATTGTTCTAAAGCATTACTTTTAATCTTTGCAACATTTAAGCTGATCACCTGAGACCTAAATGTGTGTGCTCTCAATGGGACAGTCTACAAGAGAGAACTTCTATGCTACCTGTACAAAAAATACAAAGGCCCAGCAGTTAGGACTATTTGGGGCTCAAAGATTAGCAGAGAGAATTGAATCATAATAGGAAATTTTCCTTAAATTGGCCAATGGACAAATTGTAAATGAACAAAAATTGAAAGGAGATAGAAGGAAAGAGGACTTTAAAGAGGGCATATGTGTGTGGGGGTATCTAATTAAATCAATGTTGAGAGTAAATTACATGAAATAATGGGGAATAGAGTATAGGTATGATTGTCAATAGGAATACAGTTAGCAGGGAGTTGAGGAATGTGTGATTCAGAATACCCTTCATACCATCCAGAAAGTTGGTGATAGTTCAGGTTTCTGGTGAGGAGTTCAGGTGGCCACATTCATGAAACCTGGTGGATATTTGCAGTCTGTATTCACAGTTGATTTTACCCTTTGTCTTATAAACAAATAAATAGACTTTCTAGGAGTTTTAAGTTTGAAAATTTTGTAGTCTATGTGATCATCACAACCTAAGTGACTGATTAGGTAATATAAATAATACTGATTCATATATTTTAATTATATATATTCATTAACTACTTGAATCTATTTAGTACCAAAATCATCATCTCCACTAGTCTAACACCCATGCCAGTCACACCCACATGGTACATCTTACACAGTAAATGAAGGGTGATCTCAGCCACTCTGCTATAGCTCCAATGTCAAACTCCAAAGAAGGAAGCTTTTCTGCTTTGGCTGCATATAGTTCCAGAGTCTGTATTTTGACTATTCCAGCTCTTCCCTTGCCTGATTTCCTCTGAAAACCTCAAATAGTTGAAGATGGATGTTTTACCCACCCCCTAAAAAAAAAAAATCATTGCCATTGAGTCAGTTCTGACTCATAGAGATCCTATATGACAGAGTAGGATGGCTCCAAAGGGTTTTCACGGCTGTAATCTTACAGAAGCAGACTGTCACATCTTTCTCCCATGGAGCAGATGGTGGGTTCAAACCGCTGACCTTTCAGATAGCAGCCAAGTGCTTGACCACTGTGCTACCAGGACTCCTCCATTCTACAAATGTCTTCTGCAAAATGCCTTCTTCAAAATGCTGCTGGAAATTAGGTTAGGTACGATTTTAGAGAAATCAATATTTAGTTGGAAAGGGATCTTTTAGACTGAAAGTTCTTGTAAATTCAATTAAGAAAATCTTTTCTCTATGAAATCCTCCAGTTTTCCCATCAAATTTCACATTTCCAGATTCCTCCTCCTCCCTGCCCACACTTTCTGTTCATTTCTAAATTGTCCTTGTTTGCACCATGACAGGCTTTGTTTCCAGTTGGTAGCTGTATTTTAGTAACCATGCCTAGGCAAGAGCTAATGTTTTCTCTGTTGTGACTTGGGGACCAGTGGTTTAAGAGTCTCCTTATACCTTGAAGAAGTATGTCTCTAAAAATGTCAAAAGGGCTTGAGGGTTGTGACCAAATAATTTCTTCCAAATGTCAATATATTTGAAAGGTTTCTCTTTTGTATGAATGAAATAATATAATCACTGTGGGCAAGGCTGTAAGGGTGATTGCATTATATGTGAATGTAAGTGGGGAGGATAGGATACAGCATGCACCATAATGGACAGGGAGCTCTAGACTGAACCATGTATTTACTATCTCCCAAGTGTGCCATAAAAGAGCCCTGGTGGTGCAGTGGTTAAGCACTAGGCTGTTAACCAAAAGTTCAGGGGTTCGAACCCACCTATTACCCATAGGGGAAAGATGTGGCAGTCTGCCTCCATAAAGACAGCCTTACCCTATGGTGCAGTTCTACTCTGTTCTATAGGGTCAATATGAGTCAAAAATCTACTCGATGGTAATAGGTTTGGTTTGGTGATTTGGAATGTTTTCTTTAATGTACACCCTCTTCCTCACTATCTATCTGAAGTCTACTTGTACATCAAGGCTCAGGTCAAGGTGCACAGCCAAGATGGTGGCGTAGTCAGATGCTTCCTATGGTCCCTCTTACAACAAAGACCCCAAAAAACAAGTGAATCGATTATATATGTCAATCAAGGAGCCCTAAACTTCAAAGACAAAGTTGAGGAATTGACTGAGAGGCAAAGGGAAGGAGAGATGGTTCAAAAGCAGCAAGGAGTTGCCAGACTTGACCCAGCAGGAACCAGCACCCTGCAGGCTGGATCGGCTGGTGTGCACAGTGAGGCAAGAAGTGATGCTCAGGACAGGTTTTCCACATCAAGAGAGACTGAGCAGTGAAGAGTCGGCTCATACCTCCAGCACCAGCGAGAAACAGCACTCAATCGGTGAAAGATAAGCACAAGTGTCAAACCTACTGTATGGATCAAAAAAAAATAAACCCTTCCTTTTGGGAAATACCTCTCTCCCATTTACCTGATTCCTCTTTGCTCTGCTCTGGATCCTTGTCCAGCTTCAGAGATTGCTACACTTACTGGGCCAGAGGTAGGACCCATCGCATGCCCTGAGCCGTTCTCCCAGCTTTGGAGAGAGATCAAATTAACAAACAGGAAAAAATAATCTGCCACCTCCCCTGAGCAAGAAACTCAGGGCAGGTACAGCCCCTTTACCTAGGCACAAGCATAAGGGGTTCACGGACTTTGAATGCCTTTCACCCCTGCATAGACCTGTGTGGGCCCATTTCAACAGAGTAGGCCCTCATTAGCACATTATACCAGGGTATATACCTGAAGCCTATTTTAATCTGTATCTGTTATAAGGGGGAGTGGCAGATTCGTGACATTTGACACCACCCTGCCCATTAAGCAGGGTCCTCACCTCCCCACATGAGGGGCCTGAGGACTGCTGGCTCCACGCACTCCACTGAGCCACCCATGACAGAGGTCCAAGAATTAGCAGTGATTCCCAGTCAAAGACGCCAGTAAACAAACTAGCTCACATGATCAGCCTATTTGGGCATATCAAAACAAAACAAAACAAGAAGCTAGAACACAGTAAGCGAACATAAAATAAATAAACAACATATTGATGGCTCGGAGACAACAGTCAATATCAAATCACATAAAGAAACAGACCATAATGACTTCAGCAAGCCACCAAAACAAAGAATCAAAAAATCTTCTGGAGGCAGAGAACTTCTTGGAATTACCAGAGGTAGAATTCAAAAGATTAATATACAGAACTCTTAAAGAAATCAGGAAGGAAATCAGACAAAATGCAAACCAAGCCAAGGAACACACAGACAAAGAAGGTTATTCAAGAGCATAAGGTTAAATTTAACAGACTGCAAGAATCCACAGAGAGACAGGAAAGAGAAATCCAAAAGATTAACAATAATATTTCAGAATTAGACATCTCCATAGAAAGACA